ATCTTTATAGTATCTTCAATTAAAACTTGTTTTAATTGTTCAGTAAAATTTAGCAAACGACTTGTATAATATGCTTGTAGATGAGATTCAATAATATTATTATTTAATATATTATTATCTTGTTTTTGTTTCAATGTTTTATCTGCTTTATAAAAATCTACAATATTATCTTTTAATTTTATATCAAATTCTTTACTTTTAATATTCTTAATCCAATTATTAATAATCTTTTTAATTTCTGATACAACTGGCCTTTTAATGGATCTTTATCCCAACACTTTTTCATTAAATTTATATAACATTGTGGAATATTTTTAATAATTTGTGGTCGTTTACCTTTACAAATATTTAAACTAAGTTGAAAATTATGTGCTTCATTATTAAATGGAGAAACTTCTGATATGAATTCCCAAATAATCATAGAAAAGCTATATATATCACTAGCTAAAGTATAAGGTTGGCCTCTTAAAACTTCAGAAGCTACAAATGGTAAAATATCATAAATTTCATTTTTTTTAGTTGTTTGAAAATAATTTACAGGTTTACTTAATCCTAAATCACTAATAAATAAAATATTTTCTCTAATATTTAAAATATTACCATGATGAAGATCACAATGAATTAGATTTTTTTGATGAATTTCATTAAGTCCATTAATAATATTAATTAATTTTAATAATTTTATAATCTATTTATCTTTAATTATATTTGATAAATTTTTTCTTAAATTACTATTTTGTGCATATTGCATTACTACAATATAATTTAATGTATTTGGATCTTAAGTAAATCCATATAATTGGATAAGGTTTTCATTTGAATAAATTTTTAATTGACTATAATATTCATAATGATGTTTCCACTAAAATAAAAACAAATTAATTAAAAACTTATTATTAAAATTAAATATAATTATTAATTTATACCTCATTTAAAAATTCTTCATTTAGATTTGATGATCTATTAAAACTTTTAAGAATTACATCAATACTACCATTTCTAATACAATTTTTATCATCATATGAATAAATCTATTTAACCAAATAGCTTTATATATAATACAAAATCCTCCTTCATCAAAATATTCAATATTTTCAAATTTATTATAATGAATCTATTCTAATATTTGCTTTTTATTTTGAGCATTTATTTGAATATTCTGAATAAATGCATCTATAAATTTATTTGTACTAGTCCATTTAAAAAAACTTTGTTGAAATAAATTAGAATAACATTCTTTACACCATTTATATCCAGTATATTTTTTATTGCAATTTGAATAAATTCCTTTTTCTAAATAATGATTTTATAGTATTAATGTTATAATTATTATTTTATTATTATTTTAAAATATAAATTATAATACTTACTTAATAGGTATATAATAATATTTTATATTATTAATTATGTTTAAATTATATATATTTATTAATAAAATAAAAAGTAACTTACCCCCTAATAAATTTATTTTTTAAATAAATAAAAAATATAATTAACTTTAAATTACAGTAATAAGTATAATTAAATACTAAAATCAATAAAAATAACTTACAATCTAAATTTATATATTTTTTTAAATAAAAAATTTTAGTTGAATTTAAATTACAGTAAAAGTAAATTAAAATACTAATAATCAATAAAATAACTTACAAACTAAATTTATATATTTTTTAAATAAAAATTTAGTTGAGTATAAATTACAGTAAAAATATAATAAATACTAATAATCAATAAAAAATAACTTACTTGCTTTAATTTAAATATTTTTTTAATAAATAATTTAGTTAAGTTCAAATTATAATAAATAGTATAAATAAATATTAATAAACAATAAAATAACTTACAATCTAAATTTAAATATTTTTTTTTTAGATAAAAATTTAGTTGAGTTAAAATTACAGTAAAAGTATAATTAAATATTAGTAATCAATAAAAATAACTTACAATCTAAATTTAAATATTTTTTTTAAATAAAAAATTTAGTTAAGTTTAAATTACAATAAAATATAAAATTAAATACTAATAATCAATAAAATAATAAACAATCTAAATTTAAATAATATTTTTAGATAAAAATTTAGTTGAGTGAAAATTATAATAATAAATATAATTAAATACTAATAATTAATAAAATAACTTACAATCTAAATTTAATATTTTTTTTTTAGATAAAAATTTAGTTAAATTAAAATTATAATAAAAAATATAATTTAATACTAATAATCAATAAAAATAACTTACAGTCTAAATTTAAATATTTTTTAAATAAAAAATTTAGTTGAATTAAATTACAATAAAAAGTATAATTAAATATTAGTAATCAATAAAAATAACATACAATCTAAATTTAAATATTTTTAAATAAATATTTAATTAAGTTTTAAATTAAAGTAAAAAGTAAAATTAAATATTAATAATCATTAAAAATAACTTACCATCTATTCGCATTTTTAATTTTTAATTAATATTTTTTTTAAATAAAAATTTAGTTGAATTTAAATTATAGTAAAAAATATAATTAAATACTAATAATTAATGAAAATAACTTACCCCATTTAATTTATATATATTTTTTTTAGATAAAAAATTTAGTTAAGTTTAAATTACAGTAAAAAGTATAATTAAATACTAATTATTAATAAAAATAACTTATAATTTAAATTTTAAATATTTTTTTTAGAAAAAATTTTAGTTGAGTGTAAATTATAGTAAAAATTAAAATTAAATACTAAAAAATAATTTACCATCTATTTATTGAATATTTTTTTAAATAAAATTTTAATTATTTTAAATAATTATAATAAGTATAATTAAATATTGATAATTAATAAATAACTTACCAACTAATGAAATTTATTTTTTTTAAATATTAAAAATTTAGTTGAATATAATTACAGTTAAAAGTATAATTAAATATTAATAATCAATAAAAATAACTTACCTACTTTAATTTTTTAAATATTTTTTTAAATTAAAAATTTAATTAAATTTAATTAAATTTAATTACTGCAAAAGTATAATTAAATACTAATAATCAATAAAAATAACTTACTCCCTTTAGTTTTTTAATTGAAAATTTAGTTAAATTTAAATTATAGTAAAAAGTATAATTAAATACTAATAATCAATAAAAATAACTTACAATCTAAAGCATAATATATTTTATTTTAAATAAAAATTTAAAAATTATACAAATTAATTTGATTCGTCGAAACTTAAATAATCAACTTACTTTCTGTAATATTATCATATATATTAATTTTGTTTATTTAAATTGAATTAAAAAGTAAAACATAACTTACGATCTATAATATTTTATATAAATTTTAGTTAATATTTAATCAATTATTATATAAGTATAGATAAATAATAAAAGAACTTACCGACTAAAATGTTTAACCATTTAAAAAAATTTTTAAAATAAATTAGTTAAGCTTTAAATTATAATATAAAGAATTACAATAACTTACTCCCTAGTATAATTAACCATTAGAAATTTAAATAAAAGTTTAGTTTACATGTAAAAATATCGATAGAAAATTAAGTGACTTACATTCTATATCATATCACCAACCATTGAATTTATTTTTTTTTAAAAAAAAATCTTAATTATTTAAGAATTATAATTTGACTTAGCAAATAGATAATGTTCATACCCTCTAACTCTTTTAAAGTATGAGCATCTGGAGCATCCGAAACTGGCTCTAACGTTATAAGAAAAATATTTATAATATAGCATGTCACCAATCATTGAATTTTATTTTTTTTTAAAAAAAACCTTAATTAATTATAGTATGACTTAAGCAAATAGATAAATGTTCATGCCCTCTAATTCTTCTAAAATAGGAGCATTTGGAGCATCCGAAACTGGCTCTAATGTTGTAAAAAAAAAAATATTTATAAATCGCAAGTCCATCAAAACAACTTGTTTAAGTCAATACGCTTACCATCTTCATCTAGAACAGCTTTTTTATCACTTTTGTTTGCTTTGGTAAATATATTTTTAAGCCTTTTTATTACACCTTTATCGCTACTGTTGATCATTATTGAAAATTAAAAGAAAAAAAAGCAATTATATTTTTTCAAATTTTGTCGTTTCTTTATTGTTTATGCATTGTCATACATGTCGATCATTTTCTAAATTTATCAAATTCCGAATCGTAAAAAAAAGAATAAATTTAAGAAAAACTCTCATAATCGCTAACTCGTTATTTGTACCTAAAGGACACATTTCAAACGCTGCGCCCTGAAGAGACTAAAAAATACTGACTTAAGCTTGTGAAGCAATACGATATGAAGAGGAACCACTAATGAAGGCAAGGGCGCAAGATTTTTTTTTGGAAAAAAAAGAATCGTTCGACTGCGCTCCGAATGGCAGAATTCGTCAATGCATTAGAGGAAAAAAGTTTTTCATTATTGATCCAACTAGAATTGGGTATAAAAGATTTGCTTATTATGTAATCAAAGAAAAGAACTTTTATTCGAATACAAGGTATAACAAGACTTTATCGGTTTCACAAACTTCTATTATATGGCTTCGTTTATCAATTTTTATATAAAGACACGACTATTACAATTAAACCCTAACTCTTTATAATAAATTATCTCTACAATTTTTTACATTCTTCGGTACCGACAAGCTTACGTAAAGTGAACCTAAATTCTAAAATTTAAATATTTAATAAATTCTGTTTCCCTTAAGAGTTATTTTTTTATTTCAATCACAGGTTGAGTATCAATACCTCCTATTAGTGTTAACTGTTAAATTGTAACCGTTGGGTTCACTTGAAGGAGCATTATTAATTTTTTTTTCGTCGAGTAACCAGCAATATACAAATTATTTGGAGAATATTCAACTTTAAAGAAAAATTTAATATTATTTACTGCGGTTAAATATTATTGGCGTTTATATAAAATCAAAGAATTACTTTAAAATAAAATCAAATTTATTTATTTTAAAATAAAATTGTTTGTTAACTAATAATAGAAATATTAATAATTTACATTTCTAACTGTTCATTAAGCTCTAATTGATTAGCATATTGAAAGTGACTTGCAGCCGGAAATGTAATATTAATTGTAATATTATCTACCGCTTTAATAGAGGCTTATTAATCAAATTGTAGAAGTTCCGGTGCAACCGGAAATTGATCAAATCGTTTAAATTCTGATTTATTTAAAGCACCGGTAATTTCGAAAGTTCAGTTGGTTCAACATTTCCTTTTAAGAAATTTAATTTAAATAATTAATTATATAATTTTAATATAATAAAAAAATATTAAAATAAATGCATCTTTAGACTTTGATTTTCGCGTTCTTTTTGGCTTTTGGGATGTATCCAAATCTACTGGTGTAACACTACTATTCCTTGTTTAGCTTGTTAATGGTTCGCCTACATAAAAATGAGGGAGTTTATTGTATCACGACATTATTTTGATCAATTAATGGGTATCGCAATAGTGAAATTTCAAGTTAAAATTGAAACTTAATTTGGGGCACAACAATATTAAATTCGTTTAATACGAACAATATTTTAATCATAAAAATTTTTTTTTCATTTTTTCATTCTTCTTAATATACAAACTAAATTAAATTTTCATTTTTAAAAATACATAATATATCAAGTATGTCAAATAACGATGAATCAAGATTTGTTCAGAATTATCGCATGCATTTGTGTAATTTAGAACTACTGATCGTTCTAAGTTTAGTTAAATAAATTTTCGGCGCAATGTCCAAATTAATATAAAAATATTCAATGATTCATAAAAAAAAAAAAAAAAAAAATGTCTTATGAAAGTTTGCTAGAAGTTTCTAATGATTATGAAAAGTTACTCGAACCTGACGAAGGATATGATGTCATTATTTATGTCGGTGAAAATGAAAACGTTAAAGAATTTCATGCCTTTTCAAATATTTTACGTATCAGGTCGCAATACCTTCGTAATGAACTAACTAAAGGAAATGTTGAGAAAAATGATGGAAAGTTCATTTTAAAAATACCCAATATTTCTCCACATCTTTTTAAATTATCTTAAGGTAAGGTAAATGAAGTGTATAGAATTTACAGCAATTACAACAATGATATAAACAAAAAAAATTTTTTTCTTTTTTACATATTAGATTTATTTATTGTGAAAAATTGATTCGTCGAAATTGGAAGGGCCAGAAAGATTAAAACTGTTAATAGCAGCAGACGCACTTAATCTTCAAACTATAGTTTCCATAATTGAACAAGAATTAATTAATAATCATTATGAGTTACAGCAAAATCCTATAGAAACTCTTGAAATAATTTATCAAAACGAGAACTTTTCTACATTATGGAATTTTTATTTTGAAATAATCTGCGAAGACCCCGAAACGTTTTTTAATTCTGATAAATTTATCGAAATAAAAGCACCTTTATTGGAATTACTTTTGAAACGGGATGATTTAGGTTTAGAGGAAATTGATATTTGGGATAGTTTAATTAAGTGGGGCCATGCTCAGAATCCGTCCATTCCTAAAGATGTCAAAAAATGGAGCAAAGAAGAAACCACTATCATGGAAAGAACCCTTCATAGATTAATCCCTTTAGTTAGATTTCATTATATATCTTCAGATGATTATCTTGAAAAAAGTGCTTCCTTTCAGAGAATTATTACCAAAAGATGTATTTGAAACCACCTTAACAACTTATTTGTCAACAAAAAAGCAATTAGATACTGAGGTACCATCTAGACAGTCAAAAAATGTTTATGATTCAGTCTTAGCTAAACCTCGACATTTTACCATATTTTCGAGATTGATTAATAAGAAAACCAAATTACATTATAATGATAAGAACTTTACTTATGATTTTAATTTAATTTATCGTGCCAGTGACGATGGTATAACACAAGCAATGTTTCATCAAAAATGTGATAATATGGGGGCTACTATCGTAATAATTAAAATTAACGGAACAAAACAAATTATCGGAGGATATAACCCGCTTGAATGGGATTCGAGTGAAATATGGAAAAAAGCTGAAGATAGTTTTATATTTTCATTTAAAAATAGAACGGACCTTCAAACTGTGAATGTAGGTTATAGTGATAAAAATAAAGATTCTATAGGTTGTTATCCAAAATGTGGACATTTATTCGGCTATCGAGATTTAAGGTATGATTCCAGTGGTAATTGGTCAAGTAATCAATTGGATGAATGTGCTTATTCCAAAGTTGATTGTATACCTGCGAGTTTTAAAGTGGACGATTACGAAGTATTTCAAGTTATTAAAATATAGAAGCTTCTAAAGTCGTAATAGTTTATTTTAAATTTTATATACTTATATGTAATAATTTTTATATCATTGCATTTTAATAAAAAGAAATTATCTGTTTATGTGTTGTCTAAATCCAATTTTCGAATTAGTATATGAATTCCATTCAATAATTTAAACGAGATCATTCCCATAACGCTCTTACAATGAAGTAGGGCAATCTACTATAAATGGTTGGAGCGGAACGGTCAAAATGTTAACCGGTTTAAAATAGTTGATTTTTAACTCGGCCGCAATTTAATTTTGGCCAGGATTAAGAATTCAATGTTAACAAATTATTAAACAGTTACTTTATAACGGAACTAGGGTTTTAATAATTTATAGCATATAAAATACTGTATTTAAAATTTAAAAAAAAAAAATTATTTTGGAGATTGGAGAAATAAAATTTAAATTTGCTATTTTTACCTGCGCCCGTATCCATAGTCTTAACGTATGTATGGATCTTCCCATCGGAAAACCGATTCATTTCGCTCAATACTTTACGCGAAATTTGGATTGCACTCTATAATATTATAACCGGTATGTGCTGTAAATGTATGTATAGACCGGAAACAAATTCTTTTGTATTGTCACGTGACTTGACGTAAATATCGCAATTTGAAAATGTTTTAAAACAATTTTTAACCTACTTAAAAATTGATTATTGATGATAGTCCTTTTAATTTATTTTTATTGTAATATAACTTCGGATGTCTGAAATTTCAGATCAAATTTGGATTACAGACATGAAATTATGGCATCATATGAAAAATTTTAATTTGATTTTTTTTTTAAAGAAAAATGGAGCAATAAATTATTTTTTGAAGCCATTTATAATACAGAAGATTTATATTTTATCGACAGAGTTATTTATTGGAAAATCGTTTCAAAGAAATATGAGTGGTGGGCAAAGTTATTTATTTTATTAGGAACGACTATAAAAATAAATAAATAAAATAATATCATCTTTGCGATCTGATTTGTTAATTTGTTAATTATTTATAGGATAATTTCATGTACACAAAGAAAAAAATTTTTCGTTAATTTCAGTGTTAAATTAAATAATGATATTTTTTTGATTTATTAATAATTGAAATAATAATAATTAAGAAGAGTAGTTCATAAAGTCTATCCTTTATAGTAATAATAATTAAGAAGAATAGATCATTTCTAACAAAGTCTAGGATCTATAGTAAAATTTCCACTAATTGTAAAACAAGACGGGCCTTCTAAAGTTGTGCCCCAACTTTTCAAAATAAATTCACCAGGTAATTCAGTGTGCTTAGGGACTGCAAGTTTTACGTTGACCGAAGCCTTCCCATCATCACCGAAACTTTGAGTACCTTTCCATAATGACTTAACAAATTTTCCAGATGTACTATTATATAAGTCAATGTTATTTACTTCTTCAATTATCGAGATCCCTTTTGTCAAAACTACTTCAATTTTGTCATTCTTTAGAAATTCATCACCAACTTTAGGAGAAATTATTTGAAATCCTGAGAACGGGAAAGATGGAAAAGATTTTATTAAAAAGATATTTTTTTTTTTTAAAAAAAAAAATAAAAATAAAAAAGCTAAGAAATCTTACCATTACAAAACTCTGTATTTTCAGTATTCCCTGTATAAATAAGAAATTAGGTCGAAAAGATCAATTTTAAAAGAAAATAAAATGATCAATTTAAAAATGAAAGAAAAGAAATTTTACTTGTTTCAATAGCTATAGCTGTTACTTCATTGAACAATGTGAATAAAGAGAACAATAAAAGGATTGAAATAAATGAATTCAATTTGTTGAATTTGATGACGGTATTCATTTTGTAATTTATAATTTTTTTTTTAACGGTGGAAGTTCTTATATTTATTATAGTCGTTTTTTATTGTTTTTATTTTTTTTTTATTAGAAGGTTAACGGTGGAGAGTTCTTATATTTATAAAGTTTTCGTTTCTATAGATCATCATTCTTCGTTAAGCAAACACAAAAATTAGAAATCATCATCTAAACCATTTGCGAGTATAAAATCATCCCAATTTTGCAATTTTGCTTTGTAATACATATGAATAAGATTTTATTTACGTTCAATCAAAATTTGTAAAAAAAAAAAATATATTTTTTCTTTTGCATATTGTTATGATTCTAAATAATTTGTAATACGACCAGAATTCTCTTAATGTAAATTCTTTAAGAAACGTTCTTGATATGATTCTAATAATTTGTAATACCATCTAATATAAGGAACGATCTTATGATTCTAATAATTTGTACGACCGGATTTATCTAAATGTAAAATTCTCTAAAAAGCGACCATCCCATCACAATCTTCAATTAATCAATCGATGATGACCTCACCACCAGCCCAAGCCAACAAGATTAATGTCAAACTAAAATATAAAGAAGCCGCAATATCCCAAATAATATTCCAACTTCTTCCTGTTACGTCCAGAATCAACCATTTAATGCCACGCCAAAAATACCGGGATCACACCTAAAGTGTTGCCAAGACCGTAGATGATACCTGCATATTTTAGGGACAATATCAAACTGAAAAAGGAAAAAGTGATTTTTTTTTTTTTTTTTTTTTTTTTGGAATCACCTGAAAAAAAGGAAATCCATTTTAACTCATTTTAAAGATATCATTACCAATAAAAGGAAAGCAGCGCCCCAAGACTTCCAATTGATTGGGCGATCCTCCTAACTTTATGAATCATATGATCACCAATCGTGCCGACAGCAAAACCCATGGCACCCCGCACATCATAAGGTATGACAGCAAAGCAATAATGCCCAGACTTCTTTCTTTGAAAGTATCTACATCCATGGTAAATCATTTGTTAATTTAGAATCATTCTTCAACCAATAAAGGAATTGATTCATCCTCTGCGTTACAGTGTTGATCCCTAACGCCTTCCTGTTGTAATACACCATCTCGGAATTCGCCACATGATTTTCTTCGTCCGATTCCTTATATTAACTTTACTTCTTCTTGACTGATCCCTTCATATTGATCCGAAACTTGATCCATAATATTTCCATAATAAGCTCCAGAAAGAACTATAGTTGCGGGGCAAAGCCCTAAACCCATTTTGGCAAAATTCGAAACTTTTCAAAATTATTTCGACAGTTTCGATGGGTTTCGATAGTTTCAATGGGTTTCGACGGGTTTCGATGGGTCTCGAAAATTTCGACGGTTTCGATAACAACTTTGCGAATTGTACGGTTTAACAGATTTATTGTATCACAATGTAAAATATAAAAACGATTTTTTTTTTTTTTTTTGCTTTTTGTTGAAGTATTATCTTATGAATAATAATCTAATAATTGTGCTGCATGAGAATCCGATTTTGTGCTCGGATTTAAATTTGAAAATCTGGATTTAAATCCGGTTCCAACCTCTAGATGATGATTTTTCAAATGTAAGTTTAATGGATGAAGAAGAAGGTAAAGAATACTGTCATGAGGTGATGAAAAATAAATTAATTCAATTTCAATATGTAAATTTTTTGATTTTTTTTCTTATCCTTTATAAATATATAAATAATAGCTATTATAAAGAAAGTGATCTTGTTATATACTATTTGCTCATCTCGCTCGTTAAACAAAAATAAATTCAAAAATTGTATTTTAATATCAAACCGTTTCGACGGGTTTCGATTTCGATGCCTCCGGGTTTTGCCCGGCAACCTTATCCAGAATACGCCGATAGTTCCAAACAAGTAAACGATGCACTCCCATCCATAAATTCCGCTGCCCAGCCATGTGGCTAACGGCAGTCCAACGACGGCTCCGATAAGGCTTGATCTTTCTTGTGCCGGGATCTACTTTGCTACTAAGGATTGCACTCCCGGAAATAACGCCCTTTTCTCCTATACCAACGCATATTCTACATATTATTAAAGGATTTAATCCGAATTCGGATGCTTTCGGTGTTAATAATGTGAAAAGAACAGTGTTGCTGCGGCTATTTCATATATGTAAACAAGGTGGGATTACTGAAACAGCAGGGGATGGACGTTGTAAGTAATTAACATTTTTTTTATGATAGTGAACTATTGCTAGAACCGTCTTTCCCACAAATTTATCGGCTAGCGCTCCTCCTAATATTTGGGTGTTAAGTATCCTACGAAAAATGCTGATAACACTAATCCTTGTGTCGTTGATGACCATCCAAAATCCATTGACATAAAAACTATGTTCGATCGATCTATTGATAATCAACATTAAATTAAAAATAATAATGATATGTTCGTTTCATGGTCAAGAAAGAAGTTCATTTTATAATACCTGCATAGCAGTTTGCAAAAGTCACTGCGCATAACCCTACAATTATAAATCGTTTTGGAATAAGGTACGTTGGCTGATCTCGACTCATTTTTATTTCGGAAGCCATTTTTTTTTTTTACTAGTGCCTTATTTTTTTTTATTTTTATTATTTAATTTTTTGAAACCTAGATTAACGTTTCTGTTTTTTCCGCCACCAAAGGATAATAATCTCTTTCTTTATGAATATTCATTGAATATTCATCAAAAAAAAAGATAAATTTGTTTGTTAATATGCATTTTCCTAGATTAAGATTCGAAATTTCTAGGAAAAATGGGTATTACATTTTTGATTTATTTTACTTTATTTCATTTTATTTTTTTTTTTTATTTAAAAGAAAATCTTAATCTCTATTTCCCGTTTAAAATATCGATGTAGATTTGCATATTTATTTCTGAAAAGATATAGATTTAAACATTGATTATTATTTCTTGTTTTTCTTATTTTTTTAAAAAAAGTATATACAGTACCTCTTTCGGTGCATAAAGTTTCTTTAATGTTACAATTACAGTAAAATGATTGGTCAAAAATAAAAATTTTTTTTTCAATCTTTAGCAAATTATTTACCATTTATCATCAAAAACGCAACATAATCATGGAACGCGTCAGATTCTCAAAAAAAAACAAAAAAAATGCATCATCATCGTCCAATTCTTCTATTCTCGAGAATTGTCAAGAGATGAGTTGAATGGTTAATTGGTTTCTAAGGTTTTTGCCCAAGTTCAATTGTAATCAGATTTTGATCTTATAATCTCTTGTGACATTTAACGGTAATTTTCGGATATTCTTTTTTTTATTTGAACAAATAAATCAAATAAATAAATGTATGAAATGAATGAAAAATAATTCTTTATTTTATTTGTTTTTTTTTTATTTCTGCTTATCACGATTAGTTTTCATGGCGAAGAAGGCGGCAACGGTCCATGACACAGAAATTATTGCGATATTTCTCAAACAGATTGGATAATCCGAAAAGCTAAAGGTATAACTTAATGGTGATATATGAATTTCATACCACCTAAAAAAGGTAAAAAACGAGGATCTTGTTAGGTCAAAAAATCTAATCAGGGTTATGAGAATAAATCTTGGTACCATCTTGGATAAAGTTCTTTAAGGTTAAGAGCTTCAACTGTCCATCTTGGAGTAGAAATTTCCCAAAGCCATCGAATAAATCGGAATTGCGTATTTATTTTCATTTTATTTTTGAAACTTTAAAAGATTTAATTATTATTCTTTTCGATCTCGTAAACATGCGTACTGCAGTCGATCATATCACATTTATTTATTTTATAAAGGTATTATTGATTTTTTTACAATCATATATACTAAATTATAAGCAAACAAGTTAAGAATGCTACCATGAGAACATATTATAGAATACATTCTTTTTTATCACTAATAATGCTATCTTAAATTCCTTCTATTTTCTATTTCTTTTTCTGGTTACTACTTCCCCAATCCAAATTTCAGAGTGATTCTTATTCAACCAGGCCTGTGCACTTCGCTTATCATTCTCATTTCGAAAATATAAAAGCAAGGACCCCGGGTATTCACGATGCCACCAACCGAATAAATTTAAATTAACAAAGCACTCCATTACGTCATCATTGCTCCAGTTACGGATTGCATCTCCGTCAGTAATCCTAAGGACTCTCATTTCTCCAGTATTATCTTTATCATAACACCATGCAAAATTCTTGTAAAGATTATCAAGAGGTATAAAAGTGGTATAAAGATTCGGTGGCAATACATAGTGAGACACTCCTGGAGAATGAATATTGTCATTAAATGATGCGCCTAGTAATAATATAAAGGTACGTATTTAATTTGAATAAAACTAAGCACAATAAATTAATACCCCTTTTCCAGGACCATATTTCTAAATTCCAGTTTCGTTCCAGGGCTACCTTAATATTCCAGTAAAAATCTTTATCACCCGAGACAAGCGCAATTGTAGCGGGAGTCTTGGTGAAGATCACCTCATCAATATAGTGCCCAACTGCGTTATCAACACCTTTCTCACGATTTATAAAATTCCGTTCAAGAATGATTACCTTATACCCATCTTTATAAATGCGATCCCACAACGTATCAAGTGGTGACCAATGAGAATTGGTGGTTGTCCTAGTGGACGCCCACCTTTAATGACCTTCCATAATCAAGAAAAAGGTTAGAGTTCTCAGCCAAATTCTCAAGTCGACAAATGGAATTATATGCCTGATAAAGAATTCGAATTATCAACAAATACATATAAATCGTTAGCTGTCCCCTTATTTTCTTTATTTTTACAAGAAGATGATTAAATAATATATGGGACCTTTGCAATAGAAAGGGGGGAAACTGCCAGAAAAAATCAATTTTACTTTTATATGCCAAATATGATTTTTAAGTCAAAATATGTTCAGATTTAGCATTAACTCAATTTTTATTTTTTCCAGCTGTTTCCCCCTTTTCTATTGCAAAGGTCCCATATGTGAGATAACGCGAATTTCTTGTTCGAGAAGTAAACCATTGAGAGACACTTATCAGTGGTGGTAGTTACGTTGACGGCAACAATGCTGATGTTATCTTCCTCCGTAGGTTCATATCCATATTGAAATATTTAATAAACTTGCGTTGACGTTTTATAATTATGCCTCCAAGGTTTTTAATATCTGCTTCAGTAGATCTAGGATTAAGCGCACTTTCATCGATGTCAACTTACCAAACATTTAATATATCAGAACCATCAACATTCCTCTACGAGAGATAAGCCTCTCAAGTTGTCCAACTTTAAATTCCTCAAACGGAATTCTCTCATCATTAAATTTAAAGAATTTCTTATTATCATTGTTGTTTACATCTTTGTAAGCTTCAACCTGGAAAACGTAACTATTATCTAGACGTAAAATGTTGTATGATACAACCATTTCGATTATATTCCTGTAATGATAAAAAAGATATTTTGGTTTTTAGAGAAAGGGGTGTCACATTCATATGTCGTCGATCGTTTACCGACAATTCTATAAGTTCAATTTTGATGTTGAATTACAACTGGGACAATAGTTAAATTTTTTTTTACCGGCACCTGACCGATTACAGTCTTGCACAAAATTAGTTAACAGATTTCCCCTCCTTTTTTAATGACGTCCTCCCATTTATAACTCCGGAGGCGGTTGAACTTTCAGATTACGAAACCGTTACTAATAACGATAAAGGTAAAAATAAATAAGCAGATGAATAGGGTAGTCGATTACAAAAGAATTGATAATTAGGCTCAAACCATACTCACATCTTCAAAAGTCTTGCATTAATTTTATTCATGTATTGCATTAGACAAACAATCAGCGTTTAGTCCGAAGATAAACTTCCTAAAAAAAAAATTCTTTTGGAAAAAATCATTTTAAGATTCGTAAATTTTTTTATTTGACAAAACATTTTCAAAGAAACTGTATTATGGGAAATAAATTGAGGAGTATTTCATTTAAACGCGAGAAGTTTACACGCTAAAAATAATAAAAATGGTATACATGCGTAAAAATTAGATAAATGGGAAAATTACTTCAAGAATATTTATTTGGACGTTTTTGGATATTCTTTTCATTAACCTAGAAAAAAATTTTTTAATAAACCTAACTGCGGCTGTGGCTAAAATTTTTTTTTGAAAAAAAAATTCTTAAAATATGCAGTTTAGCGAAGGCGTTTTATTTTGATTCTATGGAGACAGATTTTTTTAAAGAGGTGCATACTATAAAAACAGTTTTTTTTAAGTCCTTTATATTTTTACCACATAACTCTTTAAAAGCCTTGGATTTCTTCACCTTTAGATTTAGAATTACGTTTTGTACAGGATCTGGAAAATGATAAAAATAATGGAATAATAAACGATTTTGGATTGAGTGAATTACTATTGTGTGCAACAATAATTTTCTTGAGGAATTTAAAAAATTCTGTAATTGCGATGATTCAGAGTTATACAGATTCCCTAATCTTTATGACTTCGTTAAAATCCATATTTATTTCATTGTTATCCATCAACAGCAGGCAGAAGGTCTTTTTAACAAATTAGACTTAAAGACACACTCAAATATGTCACCATCGGTGAAACAATCAAAGCTCCATTTATCATCAGACAAATTTGTAAAAGAAATTTGACTGATGGGTTAAAAGAAATGCAAAACAAAAAAAAAAGAACTAAACAAAGGACTCCCCTTCAAGAAATTCAATTTGGATTTAATATTGCATCAACACTTTTTAAAAAGTTTATTGAATAGTTAATAAAATTGTAAAATATAATGTGTAGCATATGCGGTGAAAAGTAAGTAAATGACTAATAAAATCTGCGAAAAACAATTTTATATGCAAAAAAAAAATCTTCAATAATAAATTTTCATATGGTATGGTTTAGATTTAATTAATTGACAGCGCACTCGTATTTCTACCGCTGGAATCTTTAATGAAAGGAATAAAATATAAGACCGTTATCTCGTGAAGATAATAACGTCATTTTGCTAGAATTCTTTATAGACCGTACGGATTTATGAATAATTCCCATTTTTTAATTGATCACACGTGAATACTACACATCAAATTTTTATTGGATTCACTACCGGTGTTGTATTTTCTGATACCTGGGATATATCATTTGAAAATTGTACATGAAATTATATAAATGAATTTACATAACTTTAAACATAGGAATGCTTTATTTTTAAAAATTTAACAATTTATAAGAATTTTATGAAAATGCCATTGACTTATTTTTATAGAAATTTTCTTTCTCAATTTCAATATTTTAGTTTGGCTGTAAATGTAGAACATTTCGAAGTTCGCGGGTAATATAAATGTTTTTTAATTAACGAAATTTCAAATTTATCGTTAGTAACACGAACGTAATCATTTTTTTTTTTTCAAGGTTGTTAGCTTAATTATCAATTTATCGTGACGGTAAATTTATAAATATTCAACTAATTATTTAAATTTACACAAACTTACGTTACACAATAAAACTATTAATCTATCCAATTCATAACATTCAACTTGATTACCTACCATTAATCAAAATTTGACTCGAGTTCAATATACATTTTTTTTTCTTTTAAAAAAAAAAAAATTTTTATTGGATCAACTTTATTTGACCCAAAATGTCACAAATGCAACCGACGATCCAATCAAAGAACCGGGTAGATCCTTTTTTGAGTTATCCGAGTAGACAGAATATTTTATGACCAATTCATGCATACGGGAAAATGTTAAATCCGAGGGCTGAATAAACTTTAAAATAAACATTAATTTTCAATGCAAACAATAATAAATTTCTGTGAAAAGATATTCGTTTGTCAAAAAAACAGTATTTGAAAAATCGCTTGAATAGATTAGAATAAGTTTATTCCAAAATGGTTATCAATTTTGAAAGCGCCTTAAAGGAATTAGAAGCTAAACATACTCAAGAATTACAAATCATAGAGCAAAGAATTAAAAATCTAGAGAAAAGTAACGAAGAATTATGTAGGTTGTTTTCACAATTCAAATCTATGGAAGAAATGGTTAGAGAACGAGAGGAGGAGGAAACCAAAGCCAAGCAAGTAACTATTAACGATTTGAAAGAAAAGGTTAGAGAACGAGAAGAAGAAACCAAAGCCAAGCAAAAAATTATTAATGAATTGGAAGAAAGGATTTGTAAACTAGAATTAATTATTTATGATGATACTATCGAAAGTTTAACCATTAATGATACTAATGAGAATATATTAACCACTTCAGGAGGATTACAAAGATATCGAAAATTGTCAAAATTTTCCTGTTATAATATTCAGATAACTAGTTTACCAACTTTACCTAACAACTTAACAACTCTTAATTGCTCACGTACACCAATAAATAGCTTACCAACTTTACCTAACTCCTTAACAAATCTCTATTGCTATGATACACCAATAACTAGCTTACCCATTTTGTCTAAATCCCTAACGATTCTTGAATGCTTTAATACTCAAATAACTAGTTTGCCAATTTTACCCGACTCTTTAACAACTCTCAATTGCAAGAATACTAAAATAACTAGTTTACCATCTTTACCTGACTCCTTATCAGAACTCTATTGTTCCAACACTGAAATTGATAGCCTACCAACTTTACCTAATTCCTTAGCAAATCTCTATTGCTATAATACTAAAATAATGAGCTTACCAACTTTACCTAGCACTTTAACAACTCTCCGCTGCGAAAATACTCGGATAAATAGTTTACCAACTTTACCAAGCTCATTATCAGAACTTCATTGTTATAATACTGAAATAGCAAACTTACCAATCTTACCTAACTCTTTATCAGGACTCTATTGTTATAATACTAAAATAACAAGTTTACCAACCTTACCAAATTCCTTAAAGTATCTCAACTGCGAAAATACTCGGATAACTATCTTACCGAATTTTCCTTATTCCTTAACAAGTATCTATCCCGAGTCCTTAAAATTTTAATCGCAATATCAAAAATATTTATAAAAACAAGTAATCTTAAGTTTTATTTAGAAGTCATTTATTTGATTTAAATTACTTTAAGTTTTTTATTAATTTTCAAAATCTTTAATCAATTATATTACACAAATCAATATTTATAATACATTATTTGAGAAAATATTACCGTCTTGATTAATAACAACTAATAATAATAGTATATTAAGCTTGTGTTTAATATATAGAAAATTATTCAAAAGAACAAGATAAATAAAATAACATAATAATACATTAATATAATATAAAACTTTAGTATTCGAAATATATTTATTTAACTTCTTTTAAAACAAATTATCCCTTATATGGTAGAAAATTGCAAGTTAATTTGCTTGCAATTTTTAAACCAGTTTTCAATTGATTTTCACTTGAAATCGAATATGATTTATCATAAAATATTATTTATATACAGAATATTATAAGCAATTTGTTAAACTTAAATTTGCTAATAAACCTAATTTATCCTTTTGAGTATATTTCGGGGTCCTTTGGACTTCATTAGACAAAAGTACGCACAATTATGATTATTAACAATCCTTTATTAAACTTTATGATGAGTAACATTAGATCGAAAACATTTCCTTTCAAGCAAAACACGAAACGTTAAATCTTTGAAATAAATAAAAAGTCTTTTGTTTAAAACTACAAAGAAATATTATGCTTCTCACAATACTTAATAGCTTCCTTATGCTGGTTATATGCAGCTAATTTCATATATTTATTGCCTAATACTTCATTTTTGATACCTACATTATCAGAAAAATATAGTAAAGCAGCATTAAACATTCCAACAGCTTGGCCATTGTCTGCGGCCATGGTAAAATAATCGGCAGCTTCTTTTAAATTCTTTTTAACTCCGGTACCTTTATATAAACAATCACCATAACGTAATTGAGCTTCGGGATAGCCCGAATCCGCCGTTTCTTTATATAATTTTGCTATTAATTCGTCTTTTTCTGTTTGATCCATATCAAGTTTAACATAATTTTGTTGAATATAATATGCTTTATAGTATTTTGCTTTTACATCGTTTAATTCTGCATATGCTTCAAAACATTTATAAGATAACTCGCGATTTTCTCTATTTTTCGCTGCTTCATCTACTGTCATATAAGCAACATCCATGATTGCTTCATTATCATTTGAGGTAGTTTCAGCAATATTTAGCAGAGGGAGAGGTGATGGATCTTCAACAATTTTTGGCGAAAGTTTTGGTGATGTTTTTGTTGATGAATGTTCAACTTTTTGATAAAGTTCATGTAAAATGGTAAAGATCTTTGAAAATTGAGGTCTAAAATTATGATCAGGATGAACAGCTAGGATAGATTTATAATAATAAATTTAATATAAAGGCCACATAGGTTTGTGTATGAAAAATATATATATATATAGTATTTTAATACCTTTTTTTGCAAGCTCTTGATATTCTTTTGGTAATTGAGAACCGAGAGAAAATGGTTCACGATATTTATTTTTGCAAACTAGGTCGGTAATTTTAATGATATCATTACCGCATTTCTCATAAGGAACTTTCTTTTCGGCAATTTCCCAAAGCAGTATACCAAAACTATAAACTTCACATTTGGTGTCATATTTATATGACGACCCTTTTTCCAACTTTTCTGGAGCTCTATACCGTACAGCATCTAGTGTGGCAGCTTGATTTGTTGTACCATCAGTAATTGCTCGACTTGCTTGAAAATTTGCGATCTTGGCCAAATACCGATTGGTGATTAAGATATTCTCGGCTCTAATATCACGATGAACGATCTGTTATTACCCCCAAAATAACAAATGATTTCTAGGAATTAATATTTTACTTTGAGATAGATGAAATTTTTTATTTTTAAAAAAGAAAATTACCTTAACAGCGCTCAAATAATTTAAGCCTTTGGAAATGTCAAGAGCAAAACTTAACTTCCGATTATCATCAAGTTCATATTCTTGATAATATTCACGTAAATTGCCATACTGGGCCCATCCAGTTACCAAATAATACTTATCATCATAAACAGTTAAACCAAAGTATTGAATAATACAATCACATTGTTTCAATTTTTCTAAAATTATAACTTCCTTTATAATTCTATCTTTATCTGCTTTACTACTATTTTTATCAACAACCAACTTTAATGCAACATAATCATTCAATCCATCTTTCCTATTCTTACATTTTCTAACCCTTGTCGGATTACCATCTTTAACTTTAATTTCTTCTTCTTCAAAATAATTATAATCGAGTAAATTACTTTCAAATATATCAGTATTTATTGAATTAGAATCGGTCAACTTTTTATTAAGTACGCTCAATAGCGCAACTTTTTCCGAGACATCCTGATCCTTGTCAGTAATACCACTTCCGATATTTGTAAGATACTACATGATGAAAATAAGGTTACTTATATTTAATACATAAAAATAATTGATGCATATCATACACATTACCTTAAGTAACTCTTTAATATCCGATAGAGTTTCTTTTTGATCCTTAGCTGCTTTATCTGCACTGATACTGAAATCGACCGCCAGAGAAAAGTGAAATGCTTGTAATTTTGAATCAAATTCATCACTTAATTCTTTAACGTATGCTTCAAAGTTTTTAGCTAGAATATACTTGTATAAACCTGTCAATTGAGTAATTTCTCCAACAAATTTTCGAATATCAACAATAACGTTAACCAATTTTCGTAAATGCATAAGATTATCTTTTGAAAAAAAATTTTCGTTTTCATCTCTACGATTTTTTAAATTTCTTACGGCAGTATCAGCTATTTGAACTCTATCCAAAAATATCCCACATATTTTTTTATTATGTTCAGCTGTTTGATATATTTTTACTATCTCGTTAAAAACTTGAGTTACTTCCGTTATAAGTGGTAAAAAACTACCAAAACCTGCTGCAATTGGTACTATTACAGTCCCTAATGTATCAATTTTACTGAAGACTATATCCGTCTTACTAATCATTGGTTTTGAACCAATTTGCTTTACATCATTCTGCATTACATCATTCTATATGATGACATGATATTAGTAATATGTATTTATTAAAGACGAAATTACTATTAATACACGTTACCTGAAGCAAGTCTTTAATATCAGATAGAATATCTTCCTGATCCTTAGCTGTTCTATCTGCACTGATATTAAAATCGACCGCCAGAGGAAAATGCAATGCTTGTAAATTTGAATCAAATTCATTACTTAAGTCTTTAATGTTTTTAGCTAGAAAATACTTGGATAAACCTGTCAATTGAGAAATTTCTTCAACAAATTTCCGAATTTTAACAATGACGTTAACCAATTTTTGTAGATTAATAAGATTATCTTTTGAAAAAAAATTTTCGTTTTCATCTCTACGATATTTTAAATTTCTTACGGCAGTATCAACCATTTGAACTCTATTCAAAAATATCCCACATATTTTTTTATTATGTTTAGTTCCTTGATATATTTTTACTATATCTTTAAACGTTTTGGATACTTCCTTTATTAGTGGTAAAAAATCAGAAAAACCTGCAAATGGTTCTATTTTTTCTAATGTACTGATGTCTAACTCCTTCTCACCCTTCTCACCGAAAATTGGTTCTCTAAGTTCTCCATCGTTATAATCGGCATTGATTACTTCTGAGACAAATTGCTTTACATCGGTTACACTACCACCGATATGAATATTCTATGATGACATGATATTAGTAATAATCTAAATATGCATTCATTAAAAACCAAATTCTTTTATATACTTACTTGAGATAAATCATCAATATCGGCTTTACCTATTAGATTATTAAACATTTTTTTTAATGATACAATTTTATATTGACCTTTAGTATTTTCAGCATACCAATTATATAAATTTTTATCGCCTTCTTTTGTTCCAATACCAAATTGATAAGAATGACCTAATCTATATCGATTTTTAGCATTAGATTTTATAAACCAATCATTTGCTTTTATTACATCTTTTTTGACTCCAACACCAAATTGATAACAATAACCCAAATTATATTGACCTTCAGCATTTTCATTTTTAGCAGATTTATAATACCATTCAAACGCTTCCTTATCATTTTTTTCTGTTCCAATACCATTTAAATAACAATAACCTAAATTATTCTGACCTTTAGCATTTTCATATGTAGCAGATTTTAAATACCAATCAAATGCTTTCTTTCGATCTTGTTTTATTCCAATACCAAATTGATAATAATAACCTAAATTATTTTGACTTTCACTGTTTCCAATTTCAGCAGATTTTAAATACCATTTAAATGCTTTTTTATTATCATTTCTTATTCCAATGCCAAATTGATAACAATTTGCTAAGTAATATTGCCCGATTATACTTCCATTTTTTGCTGATTATTGATAATATTTAAATGCTAAATTATAATTTTTTTCAATTCCATATCCATCATAAAAGCATTTAGCAAGATAAACTTGAGCTGTTAAAAAATCATCTTTTGCCCTTAAAAAGAATTCAAATGCTTTTTTATGATTTTCTTCTACAACAATATTATAATAATAAAACAATCCAAATAGCCAAATATATTGTGATTTATGTTGATTTGTTAACCAAACTATTAATTTATTTTGATTTACTTCTAATATTTGTTGAATGATATATTGTTTAATCTTATCAAGTAAAATACCTTCATCATGTTTCTTAATTATATTAATAATTAAAACTTCAATTAATGTATTTAACTGGACAGAATTTTGATCTAAATTATCTAAACTTTCGATTTCTAAATCAATAAGCTTGGAATCATAATTAATACTTGGTTTAGATTTATTACTATCACTTTCATCTTCATAATTATTATCAATTAATGTAGCACTTTGATTGGGAGAAATTATTGCTTCAAGAATGAAAACAACGTTTTGTATATCAGGCCGTTGATCTGGTTCATCTTTCCAACATTCTAATCGTAACCGTTAAACAATAAAAATTAATTCTTTTATTTTTAAAAATAAAATCACATATTTTATTTACCTTCATATAAATTGCTATATTTGATAGGAGTGTTTGGAATAATTTCTTCTCTTTTCCGCCGATGATATCAAGTATTAATCCACCATCACAATCATCATAAAACGGTGCACGTCCACTTGAAATTTGCCACATAAGTACTCCAACGCTATAAATGTCAGACTTTTATTTTTTTTGTAACCCTTATTCTTTAAACATTTTGGGTCCACATAAGGTAATATACCAAATATATTTGATGCGTTACTTGAAATTTCTGAAATTTCTTTTGATAAACCAAAGTCTGCTAATTTAATAATTTTCTGATGTATAAGTATATTTTTTGCATGCTATAATTATATATTGAGATAAAAGTTCGAATTAATAACATATTCAATAATACAGTTAGAATAGGAAAAATTTTTATTACCAGATCACGATGAATAATATTTTCTTCATGCAAAAATTCTACAGCACTTGCCAGTTGAAATGCAAACCGGTATTTGTCATCCCAATTAAGTTCACTGAAATGCTTAATTAAATAATCTTTCAATGTGCCGCTATCTGCATATTCCAAGACTAAAGAGTATGCATCTGAATAAAAAGATATTATAAATCAAAATGAAAAAAAAAATAATAACAAAAAAATTCAATAACGAATAACGATATATTTTTAATACTGACTGGGTTTCTCCATTGTGATTCCATATAACCTTATAATGTTTTTATGATAACTAACTTTCCTATGCAGTTTAAGCTGTTTTACAAATATAAAACAAGTATTTAATGTACTGTAAATGTTATTTATTATTTAAAATAATTCAGAATATTGAACCTCTTTCACAATTTCTTTAATGACCTCTCGAGAATTATTAAAACTTTTTAAGGCGAAAACATCTTTATTTTTCCAATTAACACGACAAACATTTCCATATGAGCCATTCCCTATAGGTTGTTCATCTTTGAACTCCAAGTATTCATAGCGTTTGACATGTTCATTATCAATTGCATCCTTTAACCAATCAATATAAGTATCTTTTGACATTCTTTTTTTATTTTTTATTTTTTTTTTTTTTTTTTTTTTTTTGCATTTAATAAACGAGGAACGCCTATATATATGTGCGTTTTCAAAGCAATGTTACACTACATATAAAAAAAAATACCACCACAAACAATTGCTTTCTTATAACGATCAACATCCTAAATCGAAATTTCCAATTTGGGTTTAAGGCTTGGAGTTCTTACGGACGGATAAGGATATAATAATCTTTGCACACCAAGTTGAATCCTTTCCGATTTGGGATTTGAAATTAGATTTCAAAAGTTCAGGAAATATGAAAATATTTAAAAAACAGAAAACCAAAATTGAATAAAGATAATATAATATCGGCAATGGTCTACTAAGAAATTAGGACTATAAATATGGTGAAAATTTTCACTTTTAACTTCAAACGTATAGTGCATTTTCTTTAAAAAATCTCATTAAACAAGAATGACAAGAAAATTTTATTAATTTTGGTACGGGACGAAGGTCCTAAATTTTAAATTCAAATATTTAAAAATTTTGATTCCCAGGAAGAGATTTTTCATTACTGATAAAACAGATTGAGGCTGTAATAGAATTAATATCTATCATTAATGTTAGCGATATCGTTGTAAACGTGTCAAGTTCATATAAATAGTAAAAGATAAACTTTAATAAAATCATTGATTTTACTCTTGTATTTCCAGCGTTAACTAGCGTGCATTTATTTTAAAAGTTACCACTTTTTTTTTTAAAAAAAAAGGATCCAGATATATTCTACATTAAAAAAAGTTATATATTTACAAAATCTTATTCCACAATTTGGGTTGTTATGAATCACAATGTTTAAAAAAATATATTTTTTGAATTTTTGAATTTACTATTTATATAAAAAGTTATAAAAATGTACAACGGTTTGATAAAACCCTCCAAAAGTTTCAAAAAAACAAAAGCTTTCAAGGAATGAATCGAAGTCTTGCTAACGTAAAAAAAAAAAATGTTCGTATTATTTGTGCCTCACACACATAAACATGAATTAATGTTCAATAATTTAAAAAAATCACTTACGATAAATGTTAAAGTTATTAAAAGCTTAAGAGTATTATAATAATTTTTTCTTTTTAAAATGCAAAATAATTTCGCTAAAAGTATAAATCAGATTTACATTATTTTTTTGATGAATATCAATGGACAATTTTTATTAGTAAAAAAAAAAATAAATTTAATTAGATACATACAACTTCAAATATTGTTAAGGTAACTGTGATTTTTGCTAGAGCATTGTATATAGCTTTTTATAATTATGATTTGGAATTTTCATTTATATATGAAAACTTAAATTTCAACATCTTTAAAATTTGTAAATTATGGAATTTTATAATTAAAGATAAAGTTTTAAAATTAAAACAAAGTAACAATTCATCTTATATGTCGGAATTTCTTTCATAATTATTTCATTCAGTCGCTTAATTAATTTTAATTAAAGATTGATGAAATTTTAGGTTTAAAATAAACATCTTCAATGATTTCTGTAACGTGTAAATAATTATGATGACAGGATTATTCTAAAAATTTGATAAAGCCTAACAAATCACCATTTGTATTCAAAACAGGAACTTCTCTTGCTCCAAAATTTAAATAGAATTATGATCGTTCGTTGATTTAAAATCAAAAGGCGTTCCAGAATATCACCATAATATATATAAAATAAATTGTCGTTTATTCTTGAATTCGTAGATGGAAAATTAGGAAATATTTAAATGAGAAACTCAGTTGAAATTTGCTAATGAAATTAATTTCAAATGCGATCTTTGGTTACAATATTTGAAGCGTAACTTTGTTGAAATTAAAATAATCAATAGATGATTAAAATCGAATCGTACGCAGTAAAAAACAATTTTCATTTGACATCATCTTTTTTAAAAGAAATAAACTGCAGTGTTTACGTAAAAAATAAAAATTTTTTATAGTGCAACTTTTCAACTTTCGCAAGTTCTTAATAATACATATCATAGAGAAAAATATTACCAGGTATAACCATCTCCTAAACCACCCACCAACTAAACGTTCAAATAAATCACACAAAAAGCCTCGATAACTCTTTGGAAGTGCACAAACTTCTCTATTGAACACACGTTTTAAAAAGAAATACAAATTTTAATTTTAATTAAATAATAAGTTTATGATCTTATATCCTATTTATAATTCATTTCCCTTCATTTCGTATATCGGAATGATTTATGACTGTCAGTGTTGGAATTGGACCTTGTCCAATTCCCAATAATGGACTAATGGACTTCGGACCTAATGGAGATGTCCAGTCCAATTCCAATTCAAATGGACTATAATTATATACAGTGCGCGAAAAAAAAAATTATAATGACATTTTTGCTCATCGTGTAACGAATATTTATTGAATATTCATGAAAATTTAAACATATATGCTTTATTACATTGCGAAAAAGTTTGACTATGCATAATTAATAGTTTATCATATTGCCATTACCCTTAATTATTTGTTCTTATCTTGATGGCATACTTTTAATTAAATTAATAAAAATCTCCGGTTCAATTCCTTCCCACTCTTTTCGAACTATATCCTGGAAAATGTATACGGTAATTGATTTTTTTTTACCAACCAGCTTGTTAACCTGTTTCTCCACGCCTCTTCAATATGCTCCACAAATTCTCTATAGGATTGAGGTCCGGACTGTTTAACGGCCAATCCAACTGTCTTGGACAACGATCCAAAGAAGTTTCTTAGTATCCTTAGCTGTATGTTTCAGATCATTGTCCTGCTGGAACATCCAGCGCAGGAATGGATAAATATTTTTTTTGCAAGTTGAGATAAAATATATAAAATGCTTTTGTTTACATCCCACCACTTTGATGTAATATCAATTTTCTGAAGTTTTAAATATTTGAGTGAAAAATTCATTAAAATCAAATATAATTAAACGAAATAATAACGTCAAAAAATGCACAAATTTAAAATTTAAAATTTCATTATTTAAAAACATTTTTTAAAAAAAATTAATCTTTGATCGATCACGTTTCACATCATTTATTTTGAATAAAATATCTAATATATAGTATAAATCATTATTCAGGTCAAAATAATAATGGTTTTATATATTTAATTATTAAATTCAAATTTTCGCAATCAACCAAGTCTATTAAACCTGGTTTTCAAATCTGAAAAAACCAGACCCAGTATTATGTTGTTGCAACCAGTTTAAACCGAATTTAATTTGAATTATACCAAACCAGTTCGAATCTCTAATTAAGAGTTTAAGAAAACCTAATAATTTATCAAATTTTATATTAAGTAATAATAAGTAAATATAATAAAATTCTAACAAATATCAATTAATTATTACAATTATGAACATATTGCTAAAATTATATGTAAATTTACAGTTATTAGACGAAGTCTATAGTCTAATAGTCTAAATTTTAATGGAATTGAAATGGATTAAGTCTATTAGCCTAATAATCTAATAGTCCAAAAATCCATTAGTCTAAAGGCTAACACTGATGACTGTAAATGAAAAATAAGTTTCTAAAATCTAATCAACAATTCAATTAACTAATTTTAATGTTTTTAAAAAGCTAACTAACTTATATAACATATTTTAAATTACCTAAATTTTGTATTTATATATAGTATTAAACAAAACTTTAATATTAATAGTAACATAAATTCCTAATTATAAAAAATTAGATTTAAAATTTACATTATCAATATATAAGAATATCTAAACAAAAATTTGCTTAAATTTATATAAATAAAGTGAATTAAGACTAAACTTTACTCCTTTTTTTAAATAAATAATAAATCAATATAGTCTAATTTTAGAAGACTTATGATAAACTAATTTATCTTATCTAATAATACAATTTTCATTTACTAGCATAATGATATCACATTACAATAAATAAATTATTATTATATAACTTAATAAAATAAAAAGCTTAAGTAATTGAATTGAAATCTTAATAGTTCTCTGATATATGAGAAAAATTATTGAAAATAAAACTGAATCACTAGATATATCTTAAAATAAAATATAAAAATCTGATTTTTAATATTTTAGCATTTTTCTTTTAAAACAATAAAATTATAAAATGTTATTAGCTATATATAAAAGTTTCAATATAGAATGATATAATAAGCTAATAAAATTTAAGTATTTTTTAACATTATTTTTTAAAAAAAGCATTTTATAGTCTTTAATTTAATAACTTAATGGATATTTTATAAATAATTTTAAGAAAGTAATTAGACAGGTATTATTAAATTAATAGTTTCAAGATTTTAGATTAAAGATTAAAATAGATACAAATTAATTTCTATTATGCTAAAAGTATAATTATTGATTAAACATAAACAAAAATATTATAAAGTAACTTTTATATTTAGAAGCTAGTTTCTTTAATATCTCATTAATAATTTAAAAGGACTTGCAGCTTTATAGTCTGACTAATATTTAATAATATTATTTTATTTATTTATAAAAGAAAAATCTAATAGAGAATTATATGTATTATTAGGTATATTTTCTAATAATTCATAAAACTATTCCTAAAGAAGCCAGTTTAAAGGAAAAATTATTCAAATGAGAATCAATAATATATTTATTAGTAAAGTTTACAATTAAAACTCTAAATAGTTCAATTCAGTCTAAATTTGAAAATAATTAAAATCAATTCAGATCACTAATCTTAAAAAATGCTAATCTGAATTCAAACTAAATCATAAACTAATAAAAATCTAAACTAAACCAAAATTTTCAGATTAATCTAAAATTTTTAATACAATTTAGATTATTCTAATTCAGATTAAAATTATAATATGAAACAATCTGAACTAAATTAAAATTTTTCAGATTGATTTTATGTAAACTAAAATTGATCTGAATTAATCTGAATTGAAAAAATCTTTAAATTAATATAAATTATTTAGAGCTTTACTTATAATAATTAAAAAATTTAATTATATAGTATTATTTAGTATTCATAAAACAAATTTAATAAAATATTAGTTTAATAAAAAATAAAATATTATTGTAATACTAAATAAACTAATCTTTATATTTATAACTGTTAGATACATTCTTAAATAAAATATTTAAATAAAATTAATTTCTTATTAATTTGCTTAACTTATATTTATATAAAAAATTTTTATTAATTTTTAAATTTGTTATAGGTTTATCATATTTATATAGTCAAAACTTAATATAACAAATTTATTCAGATTGATTAGTTTTCATTATAAGAAAATTAGTTATTACTATAATAAATTATTCAGTATTAAAGATAGCACTATAACTGGTTGCAACCAGTAATAAATAAGCATTACAGGATTACAATTAGTTGCAACATTAATAAAAATTAAGTTGCAACTATTTGAAACTAGTGACAAATAAGCATCATAGGATTGTAACTAGTTGCAGCACTATCTTTATTCAGTATATATAACAAATAATTTGTTATAATAATAATATCACCTAATTAGGTTAATTATAATAGCCTATATTATTATATAATAATAAGATAAAAAATTTATATTTATTTTTATCGTAGGAGGAGGTTTTTTATCTTTTTTATTAATATTTATTCTACTAAATACAGATAATATTATAATATAAGCTTATAAAAAAAAAGAAAATATCTGTTAAAATTGAAACTAGAAATTTGTAAAAAATGTTGATAAAAATTCTGGATTAAACTTATGTAAATAAAATATAAGATTTTCTTTATTTATTTTTTTATTTTATTTTTTTTATATTCCTCTATTATTATTATTATAATTTTTTAATTTAATATTTTTTTTTAATTTCTTCCTTCTTTCTAATAATTTATTTAAATGCTGATTGAATTAAACTATACAATTATTATAAAGTTTAATTAATTAAATTAAAAAATATAATTCTATTACTTCTATTAGATATATAATTAGAAACAATGAAAGCAATGATAAATAAATTTCTTATTTGTTAAAAGAAAAATAAAGTTATATAATAAAATAATTCTAATGATTATATAGAAATCTTTAAAAATAATTTAAATAAAAATATTTAAGATTTTTATTATAGTTAATTAATATATTTTTATTAATAAAAGTCTAAAATAATTTAAATTAAAAAAATTATTTTTTATACGTAAAGTTAAAAGGAGAAAATCTAATAGCTTAATTATGAATCTAATATTAATCTAACTAGATTTATGCTTATTTTGTTACTTAATCAGAATAATCAACATTATACATATTGCAGTTTTTAACATTATTCAAAAATTTATTATGCTTATTAAATTACTAAAATAAGTAAAAATAAAGTATATCATTAAATATTATTACATGAATCCAAAAACTTAAAATTAATTAGAAGATAGATTTCCTTCTTTTTAATTGACGTTGAAACTGGCAAAAATTAATGAACCTGTCAAATATGATATATATGTCAAATATGCTGGATCTGCCAGATCTACCAAATCTGCTATATCTGTCAAATAGGACACATATATTATTTATTATATTTCTATTATTTATATCATTATTATCATTTATAATATATTTAATATAATTAGCATATCTGTTAGCTCTGTTATTATTGTCAGTAATATCTTATTTACCATAGATTTTCTTTAATTATAATTTTTCTATATAAAGGATATGAAAATTTCTTGAAAAAAGGACAGATTCCAAGGAGATTCCTACAAGTTCTTAACATTGTATTCAAAATATATTTAATAACAATAATAAACACTCTTAACATTTTGCAAACATAAAACTTATAATTTATTTCTTGTTAACTAAATAAACTCTCTAATAAATAGTGTGTCAAGTTGATTGGATTTAAGTCATAGCTATTGCCTCCCTGACTTCAAATTATAGTTAACTTATTCGACGAAAAGAGTAATGTTAACAACGTATACTCATTTAATAGAAATAATATTTTAAATAATATTTTATTATTTGACAGAAATAATAATTTTAATCATTTCTATTAAATAATTTTATTATTAAATAAGAAAAATATTTTAATTATTCTCATTAAATAATTCTTTATTATTTAATTAAAATAAATAAACTGAAATTTTTAAAATAATCTAAAATTTTCAGTTTAATACAAATTTTTTTTAATTCAGATTAGAATTAAAGTTAAAAAATTTGAATTAAATTAAAAATTTTCAGATTAAATATAATTTAAAATTGATCTAAATTTGAATTAAACTAAAATTTTTTAGGTTGATCTGAATGTTTAAAATTTTAATTAAAAACTTTATTTATATATTATATTATATTATAATATACTAACTAATAATATAAAATTTTCTATTAAATATTTTATAATTATATTTATAAGTAAAAGATTAAATTATTATTAAATAATATAAATTAAATGAAAAATAAAATACAATTTGATGCCTATATAATTACATTCTATATAAGCATACTTTTTTATAATCATTTGATTTTGTAAAATAGATTTAAATAATAATAAATACTCTATATAGTCACAAATCAATTATAGTCACTATCACACAAAAATTTTTAACCTATATATTATTTTTATAATTAAAATTACCTCTTCATAATCACTATAATTTTGGTCAAAAAATAATTTAATTAGAATTACTGTATAAATATTAAATCTCCTTTTATATTACATATACTTTAAAAAGAAAATTGTGAAATTTGATTTTTGTGAAATAGTTATCACTAAAAAAGAAAATAATATATAATCATAATATTAACGTGTAATTTTTATGAACTATGACTGTTAGACAGGGTGTTTAAGCAGTTTATTCTTTTTAATTAAGCAGTAATTTTTAACGGTTTACAAGTCTTACTCTAGACAGATTATCAAAAATGTTTATCTATTATGACGAGCAATAATTCAACAGATTGCTAGTAATTTATATTTGTAAAATAAGAATTTATTCACAAGTAAAATAATAAAAATAAGAAAAGAAAAATAAAATAAGAAAGAAAAAGAAATGAAATACTAAAACTAAAATATAACACGGTAGACCAGTTGCTTCTAAAACTACTAAAAACTAACTTGTCAAGTTCCTATCTATCTGTCTTTTTGCATAAATTAAAAAGCTATCTATTTATATATAATAAATTACATAAAAAGATATAACTAATATGTCAACTATATAAACTATGTTTAATATATCAATTATGTCTAATATATCAACAATATTTAATATGTCAGTTATATCACATATGTCTGACATATCATATATATTATTTATGTCAAATTAGTCAATCTTCTGCATCATATAAGCTGCGTTACATTTACTCATTAAAACTGGCAGAAACTGACAGACCAGTCGTATATAACATATCTGCCAAATATGCCATATCTGCCAAAAAGAACATATATAATATTTATTATATTTCTATTATTTATATTACTATTATCATTTATATTATATTTAACATAATTAGCATATCTGTTAACTCTGTTATTATTGTCAGTAGTATCATATTTATCATAGATTATTTTAATTATAATTTTCTATATAAAGGGCATGAAAATGCCTTAGAAAAAGGATAGATTCTAACAATTTCTTAACATTGTATTTAATATACATTTAATAACAATAATAAATACATTTAACATTTGCAAACATAAAACTTATAATTTATTTCTTGTTAACTAAATAAACTCTCTAATAAATAGTATGTCAAGTTGATTAGATTTAAGTCATAGCTATTGTCTCCTTGACTTCAAATTATAGTTAACTTATTCGATAAAAAAAGTGATGTTAACAGCATAATTAAATTTTCTTATGACGCAATTAAGTTGCAACTCAATTAAAATTTGAAAATAATTATGGAAACTATCTTAAGTCATATCAAATAACTAAGCTACTGTTAAAATTTATACTAATTATTTCCATATTTAATTATTATTTTAATAAATTAAAACTTTAATTATATGATAATTTTCAGTTATGTAATCAATTTTAATTATTATATTTTGTGTTATTTTATAATAATTTCTTTACTGTAATAAATATTAATTTAAAATTAAAATCAAATTTATTTATTATAAATACATATAAAATAAAGTTCTATTTAATTATATTACTCTATTTCTAAACTATTCAATAATCTTAAGAAGATTGTATCATATGTATTAGATTCCTTAATCTAACTTACAGTGTGCGAAAAAAATAATTAGAATAAAAATTCTATGTCGAAAAACTTAAATAATTTCTGTAATAAATATCCGTTTGGCAAATAATTTTACCTGGTTACACAATAAGCATATTTATAAATGTTGATCACTTTTTGTTTACGTGTCTATTTATGATTAGTTATGATTTACTACTAACAATATGGCAAACAGTTCTTTTGCGCAACGTCATACAATGGTAGCCACATTATGGAAAAATGGTACCCACGACGCTAAAACTTTACACTCTTTAACCTCCATCCCACTTTCTACAATATACGATTATATAAAAAAACTTAAAAAAAATATTCCATTAGAGCCTTTGTCTCGTCCAGGAAGACCAAAACACCTTTCTCCCAAAAAATGTCGTCACCTTGGAAAACTTGTTTCAGCAAACAAATTTTCTACCTGTTCTGAGTTGGCAAACATTTTAAATGGAAAACATCCTAACCTTAATATAAGCAAAAGAACTGTGCTCAATGAACTCCACAGACTTAATTATGTTAGTACAGTCCCAAAAACAATTCCTTTACTTACGGATCTTCATAAACAACGCCGTCTTGAATTTGCCATGAAATATCGAAAGCAAAACTGGAATAAAGTAATCTTTTCAGACGAAACCACGCTTCAAATGT